GTATCTTGTCATCCACAGCCTGGCAAATTGACCACTAGACCACAGCACCTGATTTATTTATACACATTTCAGCCACTGCCATTTCTAGTTCCACTTGAAATGTCACACACTCCCTTTAAAATCTGCTATGAGTCTGAACTTTTTTTGCGATTATTATGAGTGAGCTAAAAATCCAAAAGCAACGTGTCCTCACTTGGAGTGACGTTTTAATTGGGATTACAAACTAACAATAAATCACTTAAAAGCCTTGAATGAGGCTGCAGGGAAGTTGGCAACCTCGCCTCAAGTCTAGACAATTTTTTTCTCCAAGACGATGTGTAACTTTAGGGTCGATGCCGAGAAAAGATAGTCGTAAAAACATATTGGGCCATTAGAAAAATCAATGGAGGAAGTTGGGGGACAATTTTGGTTGTGGATAAATTAGGAGACTGGACACTGTGTCTATTAGGCAGACAGCATAGACTCTGAGAGGCTGGACTGTGGTGGAAGCTCATGTAGTCTGTGATGGTGTGCAAATCATATGGAAACTGTGGAGAAGAGATAAAGAGAGAGATAGTGAGAGAGAGAGAGAGAGACAGAGAGACAGAGAGAGACAGAGAAAGAGCAAAAATTACAAGAAATAAAGGGATATGAAGAACAAGTTAAAATTATATTTGTACGCATGCATGGAGAGAGGGGGAGAGAGAAAGAGAGAGAGAGAGAGAGAGAGAGAAAGGAGAAGGAGAAGGAGAAAAAAGAGGAAAAGAGAGGAGAAAGGTTAGGATAGATAGAATAGTCATCAAGGTCATGATTTCAAGTAGCAAGATAATTAATGCAATATTTACTAAGCAAAAGGGGCAAAAATGGACAGGGTTGCAAAGATTTGAGTTTGATAAATATATGAGCCAGATAATATAAATCAACAGACCATATAATATTAATAATAATAATATTATTTGTTTACTGCAAAAATGACCACTAGATAATTTGACAATGAATTCAAGAATTTTTATGTACTAAATCGGCATTTCTTTCTCTTTTTTGTTAAAAGGATCTTTATTTATATTGACCTGAAAGGAGTTTATATAATGGATACATACCCTAGGCATCGTATCACGAAACCATCCTAAGTACAAGTCTACCGACATCCCATTGAAACATGTTTTGAATTGAATACACACGTTTCAACGGGTTGTCTGCGAACTTGTACTTGTTTCATGAAATGCTACCCCAATATTTACACCCCCCCCCCTCTTTCCCGATTTTGCACAGTCCTGTACGAGTCCCTTAAATTGTACATTGTATGTATGCAGTTTTGTAGCTACCCGATTCTAGGATTAAAAGGATAAGTAGGTATCCTAATTCCAATCCTAATTCAAGACGGGTCATGAAACTTTGAAAAGCTACATGCACATTATACTGTATCTGTTGAGAGCAAGAAGGGCATTACTCTACGTCAGGCCTGATAAAAACACGATTTAAATCGGTTTCCAATTTTTTTTATTTTTCCCGATTTGTTTTTTTTTTCTTCCCTATTTGATCCTGATTTTCCCGATTTCCCTCTTATTTTCTCTATTCTTCCCTATTTTGCCCTTTTTTTGCCCAATTTTTTTTACTCGAAATGGGGGAATGTTGTTAGATGCCATTTTTTTCCTGCGAATCCTCTTTTTTTTTTTTTTTACTCAAGGGGGGCGTGGTTGAGGGGAAAACAAAAAAACCTATTTTTTTTTTTAGTGCTCACTATCACCCCTGCTATGTAAAGCGATATGAGTTGAATGCCCTACTGATTCTCCTTAGACGACTACATGATGTACATGTGTAGTCTGCAGTGCCCAGTGACTGCAACATACTGTATGTACTCCAAAATGAATCATAAATTACATGGAAATTGGGATTTATTGGTCAATGAACTCTGCATGCACCTAGGAGTGAATCATTGGTCTGGCTAACGCATGAATACATTATGTCACATTTTCATATCCATGTTGTACATGGACCCTATGATCAAAAGGCAATTTGATGTTGGGTTTGGATCAGACTCTGATAGAGCTGCAATTTTGTGATATTATGAAACTAGAATGTAAGGGTTCCCAGGTGTGATTTCAATTTGTAAAGAAATTTTGGCTTGCACCAAGTAAATACATGTAGAGATTGTGTGCTTGATCTTGTACTTAGAAAAAAGACAGGAAAAATAGGATTTTTCAATTTAATTCAATTCATATTTATTTCATTTCCAACAGAAAGATAAACAAAGGTATTACAGATATTCTAACAGAAAGTATGAACAAAATGTATATACATAATTGTTTCTTGGTAACTATACAAATACACTTTACACATAACAAAAATTATTACAAGAAATTCTTGATTTGAATCTGCCATCTGCTGCTTGGCGGGCAGTGACTCTACCACCAGGCCATCACTGGTCCATGGCACAGTCCCGATGAACCGGAAACCAAAATGAAATTGAAGATGAAGTGCAGTGACATTTATTCCACTATTCACAAAACATAATAAATGCTTAATTTTCTCACTAGACATATTTTAAGGTGCTTTCTCTTCCAGATTTCCCTGTGATTTTTGTTTGTTTAGGTTGTCTCGCTGCTTATTAATAGAATTTGCTTTATTGCGATATATATATCAAGTGCAATTGATACCCCATTAATTTGTGGGGGCAGGGGAGGGGGTGAAAGGATTTTTCTAGATTGAGCTTTAATCTAATTCGGGGAGCGCCAGGACTGTCTAGTCTAACAGATATGGGTGCTATACAAGAACCCATTAATTATTATTATACATATTGTAATGGATATATAATCCTATTGATTTTGAAATGGAATATTATGTACAGGTACATTATAAGGCTACATGTTTGTACATAACATTTTACCAGACTGTCGCCTAGTAGTTATCTGTTTATAGTGTAATATGTTTTTATGGCACAGAATGAAATGAAATTTGTATCTTATTCACAAATCAATAGAGATATCATCTATCCAAATATTTAATTCTTTTTGTAATTTTAGGATCCCTTTACCACACCCAAGTGAATCAATCAATTGTAGGTTTTCCAACTTGACACTTACTAAATCGGATTTAATGCCATTTTTTTTTCTTAACATCTGGATTTGCCAACGTTGGAGAGTACAGTAGGAAGTTTCCATTGCCTTTCTGCAGGTCAAGCTTTTAAATTGAATTATATTTCATTGGAGCGACTCGTCATATTTTGTTACTGTGAGGTGCTAGACACAATCAAGTCGGAAGAGGTCACTCAACGGTCAATCACAGAACTGACTGCATGGGGCTGCCACTGTGCATTTCTAATCTCATACTCTCTCTCTCTCTCTCTCTCTCTCTTTTGCTCTTGCTGTCTCTCTCTCTCTTGCTCTCGCTCTTTCTCTCCCTCCCTCTCTCTCTCTCTCTCTCTCTCTCTTTCACACTTTTTCCCCTTCACTCTCATTCCTTCTCTCCCTTATTCTCTCTTTCTATTTCTTTTGCTTTCATCTTTCTCTTTCCTAACTAATTTTTATTTTCCATCAATATCTTTTATGGGATTTTATTGTTTTATTTTGTCTTTATCCCTTTTCCAAGCCATCTCTAAGTACATGATGTCTACTCTCTTACATATGTTTCAATCTTTCTTTCCACCTCTCTCCCTCTTCCCCTCCCCTCTCTCCCCCTCTCCCACTCCCTCTCTCCCTCTCCCACTCCCTCTCTCCCCCTCCCACTCCCTCTCTCCCCTCCCCACTCCCTCTCTCCCCCTCCCCCTCCCCTTCCCCCTCCTCCTCTCCCTCTCTCCCCCTCCCCCTCTCTCCCCCTCCCCCTCCCCCTCCCACTCCCTCTCTCCCCTCCCCACTCCCTCTCTCCCCCTCCCCCTCCCCTTCCCCCTCCTCCTCTCCCTCTCTCCCCCTCCCCCTCTCTCCCCCTCCCCCTCCCCCTCCCACTCCAACTCTCACCTGTCGTACTACATCCATGTACCTACAGGACTACAGTTTGTTCAGTTTTATGTTGTGTTTGTCTCAGTGTCTCTGTTCAGTCCGTCTGTCTGTCGATCTGCTTTTCTCATTCCGTCTCCCACAAACCCCCATATTTTATTGAAATCACCCATACGGAGGGAGTCAGATGACGGCGATGGTGTGAAATTGTGCGTGACAGTGAGAGACTGCCAGTTATGGGGACAAGGCTAGCGTAATGAGGCCGGCAAGTGGCGCTGGCAAACGCATCTAACGCTGGAAATAGAACACTGCCTTCATTTCTGCTTTTTGTCTGTGATTTTTCCCCCAAGCCCTTTGTCAATCTTTGGCTTCAGTTAGTGCTGTGCAAAATAGCCTCTTGTTCATTCATGCTTTAAGAATGGATACTTGTGTGTTCGTGGGCAATGCATTGATTTTTTTTTCTCTCCAAATAATGGTGTTTCCAGATCACAAATGAAACTCTCCACGTGACTACTGAAATTACCCTTATCCTTTTGGGGGAGGGGAGGGGTGGGGGAAGAAACTTAGTGCAGTGCCTGATTGCAATAGAATAAGCTTTTTATTCTTAACTGTGTTTTGAGTGAGCTCTGTATGTTATTCCTATTATAAAGGTGTTGACTAATTGAAGCAGGTTTTTGTTTAATTCTGAAAAGTCTTAGCTCAGTTATAACAGTTGCAACAGTAGACTTGATACACTAGAAGTTTAGAAAGTTTGTTGCATGGTAATGATGTTAGAGATGAATTTCCAATAAATCCAATAAGTAACATGTATAATGAATGTTGTAAGTCTATCTTAAAAGATAGTACTAGTTGGTTGCTCTTTGCTTATTCATTTGCTTGTTGGACCAAAACTACAGGTTTAACATAACATGTGCTTTAAGGGTAACAGTGATCCTTGAAATTCACTTGATTAATACAAATAACATACAGATATATCCATGGCACAAGGAAAATTAGCTTTGAAGATTAACAGTTAATTTTCAAAATCAGTCTAATGAAACTTTTTTTCTTCTTTTCTTTCTTTTTTCTTTTTTCTTTTTACCTCTACAGATTCCTGAGTCTGAGTGACAGCATCACACTGAGTGTATGGAATCATCGGAAGATCCACAAGAAGCAGGGAGCTGGTTTCCTGGGCTGTGTCAAGATTCTTTCCCATGCCATCCAGAGACTCAAAGACACTGGTTGTAAGTAACCCGCACCATCCACCTCTCAAGCTAGTGGTGTCCAGTATCTAAGCCAAACCATAAGTTAATAATTCTTGGGTTCTCTGGGCTGTGTCAAGATTCTTTCCCATGCCATCCAGAGGCTCAAAGACACTGGTTGTAAGTAACCTGCACCATCAGCCTATCAAGAAACTGGTGCCCTGTATCTAAGCCAAACCATAAGTTTATAAGTCTTGGGTCTCTGGGCTGTGTCAAGATTCTTTCCCATGCCATCCAGAGACTCAAAGACACTGGTTGTAAGTAGCTTGCCCCATCACTCCATCAAGCTAGTTGAGTCCATTTTCTAAGCCAGACCAAAAGTCAAGAAGTCTAAGGTTTCTAAGGCTGTTTCCAAAAAAAAATTATTGTGCTCTTCAGCTTTTGTATGCTTATGGACAATGCTTTCAAAATATGGTACTTCTTTGTGTTAAAAAAAGTATTTAGTGATCACTATTCTTCTTTTTTTTTTATTAGCAGTAGTAGTATTAGTATTAGTATTATTAATGTTGTTACTATAAAGTCCTTGTTTAAAATATATCTCATTATGCTAGAAGAAAGTTAAACATTAAGTACAAAAGTATATATATATATATATATATATATATGTATATGTATGTATATTATAATAATGGAGCTAGCCTTTTCCTTCAGCTGCAAATGATTCTTCTTAACGTAGCTCTCAACATGTTATTTTATCTTCCATTTTGTTCACTATTTCATTAGATCAAAGGTTAGATCTATGCAAGCACAAACCCGAGGATGGGGACAACATCCGCGGTCAGATCGTCATTAGCCTTACGTCTAGAGACCGGGTGGGGTCATCGGCCAGCGGAGCGGTGGTCGACTCCCGTAACATCAACCCTCATCCTATGCTACCTTCGGATCCCAACGAACTGCCTGATGGGTAAGGCTTGGTATCCCTTTTCGTATCTTTTGACAGACGAGGGCCAATTTTTGTCATACCATAATGGCATCGACTTGACTGACACCAGACCAATAGTAGTCCAAACACATTAGGTCTATAACAGCGAATGTCCTAGCTTTGGTTTTGAGTCAGTATGGCAGTGTGACTTTTGAAGTGGTTTTGAGATTTTTAATCCCCACTGCACTACTTATAGCTACTTGCGCCCTCTATAAAGCAAACAATGCCTAATCAGTGACCATCAGTCCCCCATTATCCTCTTTTTCTTATGTTAATTGAGAGCTGATTTGATGCGATAACCACCTGTCAGTGACCATGCAGGGAGGTCTAATCACTCCTGGCCAAACTAGTACAGTGGGGCTTTAGGCTCAATACTTCGGTACATGTTTTTCCACAGTGGGTCTGGATTCTAATTCTCGTGTCTGTTATGCAATGGCTGGACAATAAGCAAGGAGGTCTGAAATGAAAGATTGCAGATCTGTTTGCATGAACTCCTTGTTAATATTCATGAATGGAGAGGAGGAGGGGGAGGGGGCGATGTCTGGACTTTTGGTTACCAATGCGTCCTTGGCACTATGTCAAACACTGCTTTATATGCATAATCCATCCCTGTCAATTGTTTTGAAGGTTTGGGGTCCAAGGTAAGTTTTTTTTGGGGGGGGGGGGGGCATGTGTGCAATAGCTAGTGTGCAAGGTTCGTTGGTGGTGAGCCCTTGTGAAGGTCATAAGAAAGAGAATAGTTGAATCCTGTCATTGATTTGATGCTCCTAAAAGATAATAGAGAAGTGAAAAACATCCTTAACAGTTTGGTTAGGTAACACTTGAATATTTAAAGAATGAAAAGGTTTCTTCTTTTCTCTTTTTGATTCTTTTTGGGGGCACCAGTTCCCAGAGAGAGTGCAGTTAGTAACTTGCAAGAGCTACCGATACTTACCCACCTTTGCAAGAAGCCTGCGTGAAAGTGAGGGCGGTCATTGTCGCTTTGCGACAGACAGCTACTACTACTACTACCCCTTAGAAGTTAATTTTGTCACAAGTGTAATTTTCTAAATCAGAAACGTTCATACACAGAAATCTTCTTAGTTTACACTGCATGTGTATTTAAAATTCACAGCAATATCCATACTTCCATACTATGTATTTGAACGTTTTTTTCATGTTCTTTGTGCATTGCTGTGATACAACCAAATCAAAAACAATGTCACAATATTTTTGAATGACATGGCACTCTTACATGTTTTTTCATGCACCTTGATAGAATCATATCTCCTCATTCGTACCCCATTTGAAATAACTTTGAACAGTGAATCACGCTAGAAACCTATGCAAGCCCCACATGATTAGAGCAAGTCATTTTTCCACTCTTGGCAAGAAAAAGGGGAAAACAGCTATGCACTCAATTTTGAGCTTCAATCTGAAGCTTTACTTGGCTTTAAATCTATTGTCTTTTAAGTCTACAATTAAAGGGAAAGTCCACCCTGAAATTAAGTTAGTTTTAATAGGAGTAGAAAAATGAGAGAAACAAGTCAGTGAAAGTTTGAGCAAATTCCGATTAAAAATAAGGAAGTTAGGATTTTTTAAGTTGTGATCAATCAAACACAAATTGGCAACTCTATGACGTAAAATGCGAGCTCAACTTCCATTTGCTTAGTACTAAAAAAATCTAAAATTTCCATTTTCCCTCAAGAAAAATTTCAACCAAACATGCACCCTAAATATAATAATTGCAAATATGTTTCTATACTCCCCCTGCAAGGAACAAATATATATTCCGTCATCAATAACGAAGAAAACATGATTTTATGGAATATTATGCACAAAGCAAATGAAGGAGAGCTCGTATAATACGTCACAGAGTTGCCAATTTGTATTTGATTGATCACAACTTCAATAATTCATAACTTTCTTATTTTCATTCAGAATTTGCTCAAACTTTCACTCACCTGATTTTCTTATTATTCTGCCTCTATCGAAACAAACTTATTTTTGGGGTGGACTTTCCCTTTAAAAAGGGAGCAATTTTGGAAGCTATAACACAAGATTGGAAATGAATAGTTCTATGGTACCCATACTTTGGCCACAATTGCTCTATGGTTGCACATTAACTGAATTCAACAATAACTTCCTAACCTCAACCGTGGACCAAACAAACTAACTTTACCCTGGAGCAAATTTGACATCATAACTTTGTGTAGAAGAGAACAGAATTACATGACGGTGGCAGGGATTTATCCAATTTTATTAATATCTTATGACAGTGGCAAAATGCATGCTCATCTCCTGTATCTACAGAAAATTAGTGTCAACGTTTTTTTCTTAAAGGTATACACAATAATTTATGCGGTCTGTAGCAGGTGCGGATCGTTTCCATGGAATCCATTGACAAAAGTGTGAACAAGATGAGTTAATTGTCACTTGCTATCAGGAAGGGATTAGGAAGGGTGGTGGAGGGAGGAAGACATGTGTCTGGAAGGGTATTAATCCGGCTGTGGTGAGGAACGGATAAAGGAGTGACGTTACCCTGTTTAGGCTTGAGGAAAATTTATACAAAACTTGTAGAAAGATGTAAAGAATAATCCTTTAGCGAAAGGGGTGGATACTGAATAACAAGAATAACACAAAGAAACTTTGTAAAAAGAAACTTGTTATTAAAAAAAACTTGGTTGTGAAGATGTCAGTTAACTTGATTATTTATTTATTTCCATCTTCATATAAAAACAATAGATTATTACAATATTATACAATACAAAAAATACATGCAATGAGAAAAGGGGAACTAAAATAAGGCCGAAAGGCCTTGTAAAATAAGTTCCCTAAACATGACAACTAGCCTATCATCAGTGCAAATTCAAGATAAGCCCGCCCAATCATACAATTTTTGTGTGATACATCATTCTGATGAGAATAGGCTCCTGATTGTTATCAAGTTTTATATATGAAACAATGTTTAAACATGCGTTCCGCTATACATTATCTCGTTATATGACGTATCGATGTACAAGATTCAGATTTTAAAAAATGCCTATCGTCTAGCTGTATAGTTTTGATTTTAATAGCCAAACCTGTATGAAAATTTGTTGATGTCTGAATGGGGTAATTAGTTGGGACGTCCTTGCCCTACCTGTTCGAGTGACAGCAAGGTTAGCTTATGAGTGGACTTGGATCGACAGGCTTATGCTGCTACTTGTATGTGTGTGTAGTGAGGTGTATGTTTGTAATAGCATATCAAGGGCGGTCCTAGTTATGTCTTGCTAGAAGAAAGAAAGGGGTGGAGGAAAAGGACGAGGAGGAGGAGAGGCGGAGGAAGATGATGGAGGAGAAGGAGGAGAAGAAGGAGGAGGAAGAAGATGATGGAAAGAAAGGAAGAAAGAAAAACAAAGAAGAGAGAAAAAGAAAGAAGAAGAAGAAGAATGAAAAAGAGAAAAGAAGAGGTACACCCTGTAGGGAGGGAGGGAGGGAGGGGGAGAGGGGGAGGGAAGAGGAGGAAGAGAAGAAGAAGAAGAAGTTGGAGAAAAAAAGAAAAACAATTGGAGAAGAAAAATTAAAAGAGTTAAAGAAGAGAAGAAGAGTAGGCAAGTTGCTGTTTTGACCGTCCTAAGAAACCAACTGACTAAATCACAACTGCTCATACATGTACCTTAGTTTGATGAAATTAGATTTTTGCCCAGACATTTGACATATCACATTAAAGGTTTTTAAAGAATTAAGGCAGAAAACAGGACATGTGTAATTCTGTAGCATTACACAGCAGACATACTGGACGCCTGTGCGGTTATTTCACTTTCCGAGAAATATCTTCGTCATTTCAACCGCTTTTGAAGAGCGCTTGAACAATTTTCTATGATTCAGGATAATAAAGATACATCGATATGCAAGTCATCGTACTGTAAAGCATTGTATTCAAGTCTCTCATATTGCAAGCAATAAGTGAAATTTATGCCATAAAATCAAAAAAGATTTGAAAACTAGAAAGTTTAAGGTAAAACAAGTATTTTAGGCTTCTTGCATTTTTTTTAACCCTTACTGTACTGGGCTATTTCGAGCACTCTCTGACTGGGGGGGGGGCCTCGGAGGCCCCCCCCCCCCTATGATCTCGGCCGTCGAATGTCCGATGAACGCGAAAATTTGCATGATTGTAGATATTTATGTAAGGAACAAGATGGTATAATTAGTTTTTTCCTAATATGCAAATTTTTGTCATTATAGCCTAATTAATTATGCAAAATGCTAATTTTATGCATTTTACAGAAAACTCTACATATTTGTCCGTAGACTTGTGAAGAATCTTGAAAATGTATTGAATAAATGTTTCCTTCATCTCAAATTCATGAGGTTTCATTATTTTTATGATATTTGAAAATGCATAGGTTAATTTGCATAAATTATGAATACGCAAATTACGCATTCATGAATATCTAATCTGGTAATATACAGGGAACTAGAATCATTACAAAAATTGTCAGACTCCACTTTTGTTATGTTGAAATTCATTATTCATATGAAACTTCTTTTCTAACACAAAAAATAGTTATTTGATGTAATTAATAATGATAATTTATGCAAATTTGATGCGATTTTCAACTTTTTATTTTCTTATGTATTTCATTGTTTTTTTATTTGTTATTATATCTATTGTTTTATTTCTAATGTATTCTTTTGTTCTGAAATACATCAAGTTACTTTGAGAAACATATAAAAGCAATTTGATATCAATTCATATCTTCACATTTCTGCTTGTACATGAATATATGCAATTATAGCACTTTTTTGATGACATGCGCATACTAATTGTTATGTAACACCTTACAGGTATATCCGATTTCGATGAAAATGGTATCAAAATGTGCGTAAGACTTGAAGGAAAAAAGTCATGAAACGACAATTCAAAATTCCGAGCGGTTGCGGCGCGATCTCCAAAAATGTCGAGGGGGGGCCTCCCAGGCCCCCCCCCCCCCAGTACAGTAAGGGTTAACAGAGCTCTGGTAAAACAAGACAAACTACTTTTACTTTGACCCTGTAAGATATTCATACACAAAGGTTGGCTTCGTGATTTTGTTTGAACAAAATAGGGGGGGGGGATTTTGTTCATTTCCTAAAAATGTGACAATCAAAATTTAAAATGTTATCCAGCAGAAAAGTGAGGATCCAATTCCTAAACATTTTAGACGTGCAATAAAAAATTAAAAAATCATAAAAAGGAAATGTCACACATGAAAAATCGTGGGGGAGGAGGGTCAATTCCCACTTAGTCTGACAAGCTATAAAGCATGCCCTGGACCTCCATGACCCCCCGCCCACACCCCCCCCCCCCCCCCCTTTAGAAAAAAAAAATAATAATAATAATGATAAATAAAAATAAATTAAAAAATAATTAAATAAATAAATAAAAAAATAAATTTAAATAAATTAAACAAAATATAATAATAATGATAAATAATAAATAAATAAACAAAAAAAGATAAGAAAACAAAATCAAAACAAAGGATCAGACATTTGGGTCTCGCCATGAGAAATCCTAGCACATGTGATCGTTAATATATGACGTACCTCATCGGTTCTAGATGTCTAGTATAACATGACCGCATACAGACAACATCTTACTCATCTAGACAATTTCTTGGAAATTTTGTTAACTTGTTGAGATGATGCCATTTTCAAGAAGGGCAACTGCACTGCATACATGTATACTGTTCGAGAACTTTTACTATGTGTATTTATTGAGTTGTAAAAACTTTTTGTACTATGATGAAAATTAAATGATTAAAACCGGATAGTTCAGAATGGGGTACAGTTTTCATAAGCTTTGTCTACTATTTTTTACAGTGTCAGCAGGACTTCAAATCTTTAGTATTGCTTGCATGTCATGCTATATTGGTGAACTAAAAAAGAAAAGAAAACAAAACAAAACACATCGTCAGATTTTTGCTGCAAGAATCTCCACTTTGTATGCCAATGTGCTGTTGATTGTAATCCCTCAAACATATTAAATCAAAATTGTGTAAGTAATTATGTTACTGCTAAAATTAATAACTTCAAACTGTCGATCCTGTGACTCTGGTCTTATTTTGATGCAGAGGGTCACATTTAGCCGAGGTAAAAAGCTTGTGACAATCGTGGTATTCATTTGGCTAAACTGACTCCAGATGTATCTGTCACTGCACTTTGAGTGTGTACTATTTACATTGGAGTTGCAACTGTACAGGAATTCTTGGGATATTCATTGTCCATGTCTGGTCGTTATCGGTAATGAATAGTGCCATCCCTATACACCCATTAAAAAGGCACAAGGTCTTGCGAAAATAAAGACATTTTATTACCCCCATAGAAAAACTAATGACGATTGAACAATTTAGTGAATTATTTTGTTTATGCATGTGAAATGGATATATATTTTTTGTTCTTTTATGATTAGGGATGCAGACCTGTATTATTTTGTCTAAATAGATTTAATAGGGTTTATATTCAAGCATTTTAATGATAATTGTTGGGAGTATTGTCTGTGCGGGTACAGGTGAAAGAAGGGAATATGAGGAAAAGGAGCATTTGTTGTAAGGGTATTAAATGGAGAAGGTAAAGAGATAAGGTGAGAGTGAGATAGAAAGAGAGGGATTGGGAAGAAAGAGGGCAGGGGAAGAAAGGAGATAGGTGGAGATGAGCAAAATAGAGAGAGAGAGAGAGAGAGAGAGAGAGAGAGAGAGAGAGAGTGAGAGATGGAGAGACGAGAGAGGGAGACGGAGAGATACAGACAGACAGACAGACAGACTGACTTTCAGAGAAAGATTGAGCCGATGATATTGGAGAAGGCTGATAATTATAACGATAGCGGTTCAGTAGTTGTTGATGGTACACTGTATTTTGAAGCAGACATGTGAAAATGTGAAAAAGCAAGCAATGACTGGACAAAAATAACCAACTAGGGTCTCCTACTACTTGGCATAGGACATATTTCAAGAAGCAATTAATCATATTTTAATAGCACATTTTGAATTTAAAAATTTGATTTCTTGCGAAAATTGTGTTTTGCTTATCCCTTTTTTCACCTAAATGCTTTTTCTTATGCAAGTGTTTATGATTTTGTATTGTACATCAGATCATAATCGGAAAATGATGTATTGTGATAGTGTATGAAAACTGTGACACATTGTATGTCGTCCTGGTATGGTGTAAATATACCTCAATAATTTCCAATCTGAGATGCATTGTTATCAGTGTCTGTGATATGGTGTAATATGGAAGCCCTAAAAAAGTGCCACAAAAAAGTAAAAAATCTTTGAGTGACCAGTTTTGCCATACTCATTTTCCCCCAATAGACTGTAGTGTAAAAGAGCCGTTGAGAAAACGTTTTTTGAAGTTTTGAATTCCAATCATAAATATCTTGATAATCAGAGAGGCGATCAACTTGTAAAAGGCATTGGATTCCTGACTGATCTAAATGTTTATAAATATGATTGCAGCATGAGCTGAATCCAGGATTTTGATTAGAATCTGAGACAAAGATACCCAATCCCTTTAAATGCCAGTAATGGGTCTCTATTAGAATATTGTGTAAGGTACATCATGTTTATTTGTATTTCTTTTTCTCTATTAGGTGGGAGGAGCGTATGTCAACCTCAGGTAGAGTCTACTATGTCAATCACCTCACAAGAACAACACAATGGGATAGGCCAACAAGGTAAGACGCTCATTTAGGATTCAGGTTTTTAAAATATCTGCCTGCCTAGGTGAGAGTGTGTGTCTGTATGTCTGTTTGTATCCTTTTCTCATTTATCTTTTCTCTTTTATCTTTTTTTTCTCTCTCTCTCCCCCCCCCCCCCCTCCTCTCTCTCTCTCTCTCTCTCTCTCTCTCTCTCTCTCCTCCCTCTCTCTCTCTCTTCTCTCTCTCTCTCTTTTTTTTCTTCCCTCCCTCTTATATCATTTCTTTCTGTTTCACTCATCTCTTTCTCTTTCTCTTTCTCTTTCTCTTTCTCTTTCTCTTTCTCTTTCTCTTTCTCTTTCTCTTTCTCTTTCTCTTTCTTTCTCTTTCTCTTTCTCTTTCTCTTTCTTTTTCCATTTCTCCTTCTCGTTCTCTTTCTCACATATTGATTATTTGTCTGTCTCTTCTGTTTTGTCGTCATCTCTCCCTCCTACATCATCCCATTCTTTTTCTTCATCTACAGGTATTCCCTCTTGCTATCAAACCACCTTTAGCAAGTACTTTAGTAGAAAGTTCAACTACCTGTATGTCATTGTATACCTACCTGTCTATCCGTATGTTCCTGTGTTCCTTGGCATCAGTTTAAGTAGTCATTGACTGTTTCCACTTATTTCATGCTGTTATCACAGTGCAAAGATTTGTTGCCAATAACTGAACCGTTTGGCAGGTTTTCATGAAAAATGTTGTAAGGTGAAATGGAGTCCTACTTTTCCTTCTCCACTCATATCTCCACTATCCCAAACATAAAAGGTCCATAGCCCAACATAAAAGGTCCGTAGCCCAAACAAGTTTGAGCTTGAGACATTAGACCAATCAATGCTTTTTAAGAAAAGAGGTCAGAGGTCAGAGTTTGAAGTTCCCCATCTCCTGCTTAATTAATGAATTAGCTTGAGTGCCAGAGCATCTCACAGTCTTAGTGCATCTTCACTACCGAATTTGCCCTCCGATTAGCCAAATAGTGGGTTACTTTATAAAGAAGTCCTCATTTGCTTTGGATAATACCCTGAGCTCATGTCCCAGGTGCAAAGTTGAATAGCTTGGTATTTACTGATTTTGGATTGGCTCGAGCTAGTTATTGATCTGCTGGTAAACGAGTTAGAATCAGGCTAGTTTTGAAACTTGTTTATTTCGAGCTACTTTAGTGGTGATCAGGCTAATTTCCTCGGATCAGACTTAGCAGGCTATTTTGAAAGCTCTGGCTCATGAAGACAGTCCCAGTCATCACGGCCATTCCCACCTGGGGAGTGTTTCACAAAGACTAAGATCGACTTTAAGTTGGACTTAACTATGGCAGGCCATTCATGCCACTGGTTGCTCTCACTATTGGTCTCTAAATTATGATCTTTAAATTAAGAAATTTCCTTCAATAATAAACTATAAAAAAATGTAGATTAGTGACCACAATTTGTATGTCCCTTGAGAGACCAATGCGAGTGAACGGTGAGAGCAAACTATGGCATGAATGGCCTGCCATAGTTAAGTCCAACTGAAAGTTGATCTTAATCTTTGGGAGACACCCACCCCCCCCCCCCCCTGGTCTCTAACCTACATGCGCAATGTTAGTAACCTGCGTAAGCTCAACGACCGCATCTCTTAAGCTCTATTCACACACTCTACTTCCTTACCATTTCCACCTTAACTCCCCACTTTCCTCTACAAATCAAACAACGTCCCAGGAGAATTCGCTGCGGTTAGCCAAGAAATGCGATCTGGAAACAAGATTGAGAGGGATAGATGTTTAGAGACCCGGTTCAGTGCCAAATCGAAGCGTCTGTAAGAAATTAGAAGAGATGGCTAATTTCTTTGGTATTCCAGGCTGTCAAATGTGATTGGTTGTACAAAATGGAAATTCCTCGTCATGCGTGTAAATATGTGAATTACCTATAATAAGTTTTGAAACTGAGAATTCAAGGAATAAATTTTCATTGGGGAATTGCTTTGTCATTATTACAGCATGAAAGGAAGGTCGACATGCAGTATAGATTTGATTCAATGTGACAATGAATATTGCTTGCCCCTATGCAATGACCAATAATTTTGAAGTAGTTTTACATTGTGACAGGTTATGATGAACCGTTGGTTTGATTCTCACAAATCTTAGGGGGAATGGATTCAAATGGGGATACTATATAGTGCCTATGTCATTGTGATGAGAGAAAAAAGGAGATGGAGAGAGAGAGAGAGAGAGAGAGAGAGAGAACAACAACACAGAAGAAGGGGGCGCAACCTGTCTGTAGTGGCCAATGTGAGATCTCACTTGGATGGCCTTTAATGACAGGCTTGACATAATATTGATGATAATATGACATAGATGTAACATGCCTTCTTTTTTGTTCTTCTCTTTCAAACCCCACCCCCCCCCCACCCATACCCAGGCCTGCAGTGGAGTGCACCCAATCCCAAGCACCCTCATCACGGACGTCCACCCATGCCAACGGTCACCATAACAACCACCATCACCACTCCTCCACCTCCTCAACCTCATCTCAACCTCATCATAGAGGAACGAGTCATGGCGACAGAGGGGGAGGGGGAGGGGGAAGTGGCGAGGGTCACGAAGGGGTGCGGCCGGGGGCGTCCAGTCGGCACGGGGGGCCTGCACCATCGGAAGAGCAGAACAAGTACACCAGGAGGGCAACATCTAGGATGAGGAACTACATGAATCGATCAACGCTGCATAGAGTCATCGATCTACCCGAGGGATATGGTGAGAGAAATTTTTCTGTCGCTACTTGATCAGGGGGGTGTTTCACAAAGACTAAGATCGAATTTGAGTTGGACTTGAGTTGGCAGTTCATGCCACTGTTTGCTTTCATCATTTACTGGTATTGGTCTCTGAAGGGACGTATAAATCGTGGTCTCAAATCTATAGAATTCACAATTTTTGATAGTTCATTATTGAAGGAAATAAATCTTAAGATCATAAGTGAGAGACCAATAGTGAGAGCAACCAGAGGCATGAACGGCTTGCCATATTTAAGTCTAACTTAAAATCGATCTTAGTCTTTGTGAAACACACACCAGGGCTAATTAAAGACAGCTGTTTAAATATGCTTGTCTGGAGCCTGATCAAAATCAACACATCCAGTCTGCCTGCATGTGGCTCATGTGATGTGCGTCATTACTATTGCTATTCATATGGGGATTCACTTGTATAATGGGGAACAGATATGTTTGATCATTTAATTGTTTGAGTTTTTGGCCACCGGGTTCTAGGGTATTTTATACACGTTTCTTGAGTTACACCTATCTGCAAAAGAGACATTGGTTGCTTATTTTTCTACTTTAATCTCTATATTTATTAGTGAAAATCTTGAAGGTTAGTAGTAGTCTCCTGTGTAGACTGTACACAGTACATTTAAAGAGTCTTCCCGAACTGGAACTGTAAGATATTGGAAAAATATATATAGTCAAACCTGTCTATAGCGACCGCCCAAGGGAAGCACAAAAGGGGTCTTTGTAGACAGGTTCCTTTAGTACATTTTCAATGAGAAACCATTCAAAAGGGAAACCAAAAATGTGGTCACTAAAGCAGGTTTGCCTGTACCACACAGCTGAGGAGGTAATGTCCTATGGTGTTATAAGTCACAATATAATGATATAGATTTTGTGAATTGATCCAACCTAAGATACCTCTATATTTAGAGGAATGCATGTTAGCAACACAGAAACTTTATTTTAAAGACCGTCAATACTACTGGGCCAGAAGGGATTAGACCACACAGCGAGGTCACAGGTGGCTATCTCATTAACTCAGCTCTCAACTAACATAAGAAAAAGAGGACCATGGGGGACCAACGATCACCACTTAGGCATTGTTTGCTATATAGAGGGCGCAAGTAGCTCTAAGTAGTGAAGTGGGACTTTAAAGCATAGATAAAAGCACCCACTAAAAAACTCCCTCAGGAAAATACATCTATGCGATTCATTCTTAAGGGTATTTAAATCACAAAAGTTCCATCTTTCTCTTCTTTCCAGAGCAACGGACGACGGCACAAGGCCAGGTCTACTTCTTAGACACCAGCTCAGGGGACAGCACGTGGCACGACCCCCGCCTCCCCCGTGACCTTCACATCAACGAGGCTGACCTTGGAGGGCTCCCTCCTGGTTGGGAGACGAGACACACGGCTACCGGAAGGGTCTACTACGTGGACCATAACAACAGGACTACGCAGTTCACAGATCCTAGGCTGGACGCACAGATCATCAACAGAGCAATGTCCAAGTAAGTATGATCGTTTTGGTTAATTTTTGATTTTTTTTTTTTTTGACTTTTTTTTTTTTCTTCTTCAAATATGTATACTTATATTAAGTGGTGCCCAGGAACCATAGAGCCCAACAACTTAACTAGTTCTTATTGTGATTTTTTATGGTCCTACAGTATCATTGAAATTTTGGGATAATGTTGCAGTTCCACGTATGTTGACAAATCACACAATAAAATACATTAGCTTACAAGGATTGAAAATCTCATTCAAGATTTTGCTCTTGTACACTATCGTCAAGAGAGAGAGGGTCAAATTATTTAGCATGTTTTGAACGGAACTTAACACTATAGGCTCTTGCATTCCTGTGTCTTATTCTCTATCATCACAGTGAGATGTATTATCAATTAGCCATTTTAGCAGAGAAGAAATTTCTTGTAACGTTGGTCAGTTATAAATAAAAAATTCTCTAACTATGAATGCCTTACTGAATAGACATACAGTCAAACCTGTCTACAGCGACCGCCCAAGGGAAACACTAAAAGTGCCCTTTGTAGACAGGTGGTCTTTGTAGACAGATTCCTTTAGTACATGATTCAATGAGAAACAATTTTCAAGGGAAACAACAAATGTTGCCTTTGTAGACAAGGTGGTCGTTGTCGACAGTTGGTCACTAAAGTAGGTTTGACTGTATATATAACATCGCATTCCCCTTCCCTCAGGCAAAACGGCAATACAGACTCCTCACCGGTACCAAAGTACAAGCGGGACCTGGTCCAGAAGATGAAGTTACTACATGCAGAGCTAGCGACGGTCCAACCTCAGACAGGACACTGTAGGATAGAGGTCGGAAGGGAAAACATCTTTGAGGTTAGTTCATTATCTGTTTAATAGAAAATTACCAGCTTCCTTGAGTTGGTACATGATGAAGAGGAAGTCCTGTACTTTGTTGAAGAAGTTATTGACTATCCTCAGAAGATGTAGTCGTATTTCAAAGTTAAACAAATTTGACCAACCTAATTGATAGTCTTTATGTAGTTCATTGTCTACTTCATTCAAATCTATATTTCAATATATTATTTGCAACAATATATCGTTTTACAAGATGCAGAACCTAAGGCCATGTTTAAGTAGTGTTGTTAAGAAAATATTTTTATTATCAGAGATTCCCATGTATCCTGGAAATTAGGGAAAACCTGGAAAACAAGTTTAGAATTATGGCTATGTTCTATCATTTTGTATCAAGTTCAAACAGCTTATCCAGTTGAGACTATTAAGTGTAAAAGATGCTGCCTTTAGGTTGAAACAATGGTCCTGGAATTTTGAAAATCCATCAGAGGAAAATCAGGTAGATTTTTCTTTCCATGAATCGCTAATAAAAAAATATGACAATATAATCACCCTGTCTTTTTATGTTCATTTTATCCCAGGAATCCTACCGTCAGATCATGAAGCTGAAACCGAAGGACCTGAGGAAACGTTTGGCCATCAAGTTCAAGTCTGAGGAGGGTCTTGACTATGGGGGCATCACCAGGGAGTGGCTCTACCTCCTCTCTCATGAGATGCTCAACCCTTACTATGGCCTCTTCCAGTACTCCAGGGATGACATCTATACATTACAGATCAACCCAGACTCAGGAGTCAATCCAGTAAGATTAAAAAAGATGATGATGGTAGACCTAGTAGTGGCGGTGGTGGTGGTGGCGGTGGTGGTGGTGGGGGTGGTGGTGGTGGGGGTGGTGGTGGGGGTGGTGGTGGTAGCGGTGATGGTGATTCTAATGGTGATGGTGGGGATGATGAAGATGATGATGGTGGTAGTTATGGTGATGGAGATGAAGGTGGTTCTTAAGGAAATGAAGATGATGATGGTTGTGGTGATGGTAGGGGTGTTGGTGTTGTGGTAGTGACGGTGGAAGTGGTAATGGCGGTGGTGATGATGATGCTAGTGGTGGTGGTGATGATGATGATGATGATGATGATGATGGTGGTGATGATGATGATGATGGTGATGATGATGATGATGATGATGATGATGGTGGTGGTGATGATGATGATTAGTAATGGTGATGATGATGATGATACTGGTGATGATGATGATGATGATACTGGTGATGATGTTGTGGTGATAATGATGGTGGGGTGATGGTGATGATGACACTGGTGATGATGATTATGGTTGTGGTGATGATGATGAAGGTAATGATGATGATGATGATGATAATAATAGTGGCGATTGTAATGATACTGGTGATGGTCGTGATGATTACAATGTGGATGTTAATGATGATGAAGATGATGAAAAAGATGATGAATATATAATCATGATACATCTACATGATTGTAAAGCATCTAATACCCAAGCTAGGAATCACATCCTTACGATATTACTTCAAACATCTCCCCATCTCCTCCCCTCCAGGAACATCTGTCCTACTTCCATTTTGTGGGACGAGTGATCGGTCTTGCCATCTTCCATGGTCACTACATAGATGGAGGGTTCACCATGCCGTTCTACAAGCAGCTTCTTGGAAAGCCAGTCAGTCTCGAGGACATGGAGACCGTAGACCCTGAGGTCTACAGAAGTCTGGTCTGGATACTGTGAGTTCTCATAAACTCTTTATATACATACCACACAAAGTATCTCCCTGTGCTAAACCAGTCACATTGATTTCACATCCTACTATTGAATTCCTTGGTGGAGAGGAGCATTAGAGATCAAATTCCTTGCTCAAGCACAAAGTATGAAAGCAGGGCTTGAACCCATGACCTTTGCATTCCCAGTCTAGTAACTATACCACCTGTTACTGTAGAATTCTTCAATAAACCAGTTTAAAGTTAGCACATGCTGTGAATGACACCAAGTATCCATATATCCTTTAAAGCCTATCTGCACTAGTTTGGCCGGGAGGGATTAGACCTCCCTACGTGGTCACTGGCAAGTGGTTATCTCATTAAATCAGCTCTCAATTGACATACGAAAAAGGGAATCATGGGGGACCAACGGGTACCACTTAGGCATTGTTTGCTATATAGAGGGCGCAAGTAGCTACAAGGACTACAGTCCCACTGTAAACATGGAGAGTGGCCACTTTATGCCTTTTAATATAATCAGCTCCAGAAGTTTCGTCAATTTGATTCAATACAGTACCTTGTCTCAACATTTATCATTTCAGATATCTGTGATGCTGAAAATAAGTCTTTTTTATATCTGTGAACTAATCTCTTTCATGATCAAATTTGTACCCAACAGAGAGAATGACATCACCGGTATATTGGAGAACACATTTGCAGTGGAACACAACTCATTCGGTCAAATGCAGATCCACGAACTCAAGCCTAATGGGATCGACATCCCAGTCACAGAGGAAAATAAGAAGAAATATGTCAAGTAAGTATTAAAGAACTTAACGAGAAACCAGTCTGCATTCTTTGATCTAGATATGCATTTGAGTTGCACTCTTAGAAGTTCAAGCATTCAATTATACCAAAATGAAAAATATTGTCACTGTGTGTGCTGTTTCTCAGTTACTAGAGAACAAACATTTTGCGGATCTTGTGTCTGCTTTTGTATGTGTTTTTTAATGCACAATATTGGGAAATTACAATTTCCTTGTGACCCCTATTTGTCAATTTTTGTTTATATCTCTTTCATTGAATAATGACAAATATATTTCAATCCCTCTGTTATCATTCATCTTTCCTAATAGAAATGAATGATTATATGATGGTTTTGAGGAAATATCATTTTATAGAAGGGAAAAGCCACAAATCTTTGAAAGGGATTATCATTTAAACAAAAATCTCTGATTGGAGCCTCACAAGCATGTCATGAACAATCGCAAATCATCACTTTTTGTTCTTCACAATCGTACGTTCGTGTCTCCTTAGATCAAGATTACTGTAATCTTGATCTTCGGAGTAGTTGCTACAACCGGCCGTGTCAGACACGTTGCCCCGGGGTGCGAGATAGGACTCTTGTAGCGTGCCCCCATTTAAAACAATTATACAGTTACAGTTAACAATACATTTAATTAATAGTATGAAACTATTAAAATTACTCTCATGTTACGGGAAAAAATATTGCATATACATATATTGTGAATCAATTGATTTGGTCAATCCAGTTCGATGGCACAAACACGGCACAAAATAATCGCAAAATAATCGCTTACAAGTTTGATAAGAAATTCCAACTATAAAACAAGAAGTAAATAAGAAACAGGTCCTCATGTTTAACACTGGTAGAGTTAAAGGTCTGAAATATTTTTCAGGTGGATCAAATCATCATTACCTTGGCATTCAGTTTCCGTGCAAATAAAACATATTACATGAGATTACAATACGTACCGTAATACAAACAAATGCTTAATAACACACATCTTTGTGCAAACAACAGAAATTACATAAGATTACAATACGTAATACAAACAAACGCTTAATAACACCCATCTTTATATTAGATGCTGCTTGTAAGTATCGGCTTGCATCGTATCTTTATATTGTCGTGGATAATTGCAAGTACACAACTCCACTGTTCAATTGCTGTACAGATCAACTCTAAATCATATAGTCCCTGAAACTTTTTTCCCAACCAAGAGCTTCCTGGTACACACATCCAGCATCTGACAATACCTGGTGGAGAGCATCTTTTCTCTTGTTCCTTCCTGCTAAGGGCTGATCATGGGGGAACACTGTCGAGTAGTTCTTAGCGTATGCTTCACAATAACTGCTTCACATGAGTTCCTTGAATATTCAATCAGTGTCTGTACCATTGGTGCCCTGAAATCTCTCTTGTAAAGGATTGATGAATTGTGTCCCAAGTATCACGTTGTAAAACTTTAGATGTCTAAACAATCTAAATTAAAAAAACATTTTATTTCTGACTTAACCTTCATCTACCAGATTGTTTGTGCAATGGCGTTTCTTGCGTGGCATCGAGCCCCAGTTCCTGGCTCTCCAGAAGGGCTTCCATGAGCTCATCCCGCCGAGGCTCCTCAAACCGTTTGACGAGCGCGAGCTGGAGCTCCTCATCAATGGCCTCGGTAAGATCGACGTTGAGGACTGGAAGAACAACACCAGGCTCAAGAACTGTTCGCTGGAGACGGCCATTGTCCAGTGGTTCTGGCAGGCGGTGGATTCGTTTGATGAGGAGAAGAGGGCGAGATTGCTTCAGTTTGTTACTGGAACGTCCAAGGTGCCTTTGGAAGGTTTCAAGGCCTTGCAGGGTGAGTTTCGTTTGTAAATAATACTTTTGCTGTTTCTAGACTCTGTTTTGTTTGTCACAATTAGTATTGAATTAGGCAACTTTCGAAACATTTATCGAGGAGGTTGGTAAGGACTAATGTGTATCATCATCATCTGAGAGTCAGAAGAGAATTAGAAATATTAGTCAACACCTTTCTGGTTCCCAGCAGTCAGTATTGTATGATAGGTTGTTATATATTAGATGTTTTAAAGCTGTTGTAAGGAGATAAACCCTGTTACATCAAGACGTCTGATTAGTGACTCGTTTACCATTGTTGAATTTCTTCAATCTGTAAGTTTTTGTTCAAATATCTGCCGAAAATGCCCTCTCTATTAAAAAAGTTCATCTTTCCTTTTGAACATTAATTGATTTCATTTGTCCGTATCCACTTGTTGATTAGGTTCTACCGGTGCGTTGAGTCCACGTCTGTTCACCATTCATCAAATAGATGCCAACACTGACCTGTTACCCAAGGCACACACGTGGTAAGTACCTTGAATTAACAGCACTTCAAAGAGAATCTAGGCTCGTTGCATAAAACTTACCGTTGATAGTAACTTTGCCATCAATGGCAACTACCATGGTAACAAGGCTCAACAGCCAATCAAAATCAAGGTTTCCATGGTAGTTGCCATTGATGGCAAAGTTACCATCAATGGTAAGTTTTGTGCAACTGGGCCCTGGTTCAGAATGCAATGTAAACTCTCATTTTAGACATGGCTCACAAAACAAAACCAAACAATACTACAAAATATACCATGTAAGATGAAATGATGAAACCATAATGCTTGTCTAAATACTTGTGTATTATCTCTCACAGATGCATTGCTGCTTCTGTTGTACTACAGCCAAACCTGTCTATAGCGACCGCCCAAGGGAAACACAAAAAGTGGTCTTTGTAGACAGGTTCTTTTAGTACATGTTTCAATGAGAAACCATTTTAAAGGAAAATACAAAATGTGGTCTTTGTAGACAGGTGGTCACTAAAGCAGGTTTGACTGTATATAAGGATTAGAAATTGTCATAATGAAACGACTATAGGTATACGTAATGATAGTGGAATTGATTTGTACACTAGTTCATACAGATATACGATGCCTTACTGATGATATATGTGATGATGATGATGGAGAATGTTAATGGTAATAATTCCAGTGATATCATTATTTATTATGGGGATCATTCTAACAACAATACGGTTATCAAACACACTACCCTTGGTGAATGCAATGTTACTTTACGTGGCTTTCCGTTTTCTCTTTCAGCTTTAACCGCCTTGACCTCCCACCGTATGAGAATTACTCCAAGTTCTTTGACAAACTGACGTGTGCTATAGAGGAGACGTGTGGCTTCACTGGCGAATGAGACGACAGACAGACCTTTCCACAGAACTGCTTTAGTATTATGTGCACCATCTTCACTGATTGGGGTTTGTTGTTATGAATTGGAGTGCAACGGAAGTAGGAAATGGCTGGATTAGAAGTGCAGTTATCTATGGATAGGCAGCAAACAGGCAGCGAAGAGCTTTGAAGATATTCATGAAGGACTCTCCAACCTGACCTGTAAAATCATGTGCACTGCACCATCTTCACCGAACGGAGTTTGTTGTTATGAATAGGAATGTAACAGAAGTACGGATTGCCTGGATTAGGAGTGCAGTTATCTTGCAGTTATCTTGAACAGGCAGCGAAGAGCCTTGAGGATATTCACAAAGGACCCTCCAACCTGACCTGTGAAATCATGTGCACTATCTGTAGCCAGCTCACGACTGTTGCAAGGATCGCAAGAGAAAGACAGATGGGACTATATCTACTATCTACAGAGCACTGCACAGCTACACACCAAGAGGCTATTCAGTCACATTTTGTGATTAAAGATCATCATGTGCACCTTCTCCACCTTGTCATGTTTCTGGTAGGCCATCCTTCGCTCACAGACAGTGCAAAGGAGAAAGGAGAGGGGCGAAATGTTCATAAGAGAAGAAAGAGAGGTGGGATATGCAAAGATAAATAAAATAAATGGGTCCAACACTCATCTGATATCTTAGTAATGTCACCCCTTTATTACCATGCAGTATTCAGACTGGTGCCCTATCTCATAGTGTGGTTGTGCAGGGAATAGCTGGATATTAGTAGTGAGAAGAGGCTGTGTTCAATTCGATTTTTCAGTAACTTGTGTTAGGATCACATGTGGCAGAGTTGATGTTAGCACAAATGTTTATATGAAAGAGAGGGTGTGAGTGAAAAGGAAAACTATTACCTTTTTTTTTGTATGGATGCCAATTAAATATACCAGTTCACAAATATATTTGAATTTAGGATGCTCCATCGCCAAGTGATAAATTCTTTCATTTGCTTGATTCAACTTTCCTTTATTGCAAAATCTTTGAAATCAAGTCACATGCTTAACTGTTGCCATGTCAGGCAAGCTTGCCTCTCCAACCTTCGGGGGAAGTCAAGAGCTATGATTTTGGTAGTGAAGCTCTGCATAAGATTTTGATATTGGAATTTATTTGACACTGGTTCGAATCACTAATACACTTTAAAAAAACACTCTTTTAAAAATACTTTTTAAAATTTGCTGAGTTGTTGAATGGTTGTAGAAATGTAAGCTGTAAGGAAAAAGTTACTGGACAGTTTGGATCCAACCTTTTCATAAGAAGAAAAGAATACCCAATGCCATCTCTGTAAGTTGTGCAACTGTATTTGCTTTAAAAAAAATACTGTACCCTTAAATTATCTTTGAAAAGATTAAGTAATTTGCTATTTGGATGCCCCATTCAGTGTGCATTATTTTGGGGTTTTGATAGTGGTATGTGCAGTTTATGCTTGGTTTGTAGTTAATTAGTGTGAGCTCAAGATTTCCCATAGGATGAAAAGACTATCAGCGTTCCTATAAAGAGAGACAAAAGAAAAGGATCTTTTACAAGGATTATATAGGCAAGGCAATCTTTGTCTCTCTCTCGGCTTGTGTTACCCAAATTCCTTTCTTTTGAACAAACAGTATAAAAGAATACAGGTGTGAAGTGACCCTTTAAGAAAGCAACACAATACTAACTATGTAATAACTTATTGAAGATGTGGAAGTGAACCTCTTTGCTTAAATGTTAGCCATTTAAAATGCAGGTGTGAAGTGACCCTTAATTTATCTGACACCACCTATAGCTGTGTAATCTCTAGTATAGTCAAACCAGATTTTGTATTCCAATCAATCATAAGAATATTTTTACTCTTCATGATGAATCTCTTACAATGTAGAACTTGGTGTGAAAAGACGAGTACAGATTCAAAAGGGCATTATTCAAAAGGAATCGTACCATTTGTATGAAGGAACAATTATTCATTTGAGTGCTCCAAGCAGATGTTCTGTGTTTGTTGTGAAGGAAAGCTTGCAAAGGGTTAGTTTGTTTTGAAATGTTGAGCGAAGGACAATTTTGTTGTTTTTTCCTTACATCTGCCTTATGTTGAGCTGCGTTCAGAGTTGAAATTTGATTTACTGAAATGTTTTCCCCGTTGTTTGATTGTAAGTTTAACTTTCTTGTTATATTTCTTGTCATATTTCTGTTTTTAAACAATAATAATTCAAAGGTGCAGGCTCCTCTGATGAAATAGGTCAAAGTTTTAAGGCAGGATATGAAGTGTTCTAGACCATCAATCTCATAAAAAGAAGAAGGGACTCACAGGAGTGAGTTCCACCAGCAAACAGCAATGGATGAGAATTAAGGCACGGTCTCAATAAGTGCGTTTAGTTTACCATCACAAACCTGTATTAAAAACATTGTCAACTTCATGTGCTTACATTATTGTATTCCAGCTAACTTGCCCATACCAGAAAATGATTTTGTCATACACAGGTTGAGAGAAAAAACGTCTTGATTACATGAATGTAGGACAAAGCATTTGGTTATTACAATACCTAAATATTCTTACTGGTTTGTGAAATTTGAGCCGGCGTGTACGTCAATAGAAATTCTGCTGGTATGTGCTGAAAGATTGTTATTGTTTCTCTTACCTCTATAGTTGAATTGTGTTTTGTATATTTTTAAGGGAGCATTCATTTTAATGTCCACAAACATCATAGATGTATTGATATACAACCTGACAAATTGCCATTAATAGTGTTTCATTGAATCCATATTGGAAGACAAAACATTAATAACTATAATTAGATAAACGACATGTTAATAGGAATACTAAATTTGTTCTTCTCATTTTTTTTTTGTTCACCTGAGGAGTGAATTTTGAGTGTGGCTGACAAATGAAGCTGTGACCAGGCCAGTTTCAGGCGACTGGATGTGTTTTGAGGAAGCATAAGAATGGCGATTTAGTTCATGAAGTATTGATTGCTTGGAAAGCTATAAATTCTGCTGGCGGGAAGCATGTGGATATATTTAGCACATGTTTTATGTTATATACAGGTGCATTTAGAGTTGCTGACTTTATAATTAAGATCAAAGCAGTATTGAACATACATTTGTTATTTTGCTCAATTCATACAAGTTTTACTATGTACGCTCTGTTTGGCAATCACGTTGTTTGCAAATTTGAAATTTATCATATTTTGGTGTTTAAAGTAAGTGTTGCTTATTTTACAAATATTTTGCACTACTTTTTTATCACAACCCTTGTGATCCTGTCTCTCTGAATTCATGTCTTAGTATCTCTTCTTGTTATTTTCTGCCTTTCTCTCTCTCTCTTTTTGCTTTCCCTCCAATCTCTCATTTTCATTCTTTCTATTAATTTATATTTTTCTATATTGTATTTTGTATTTCTCTCGAGAAGAGGAAAGGAATCTGAGATTGATTTAGGTGTGGTCATTCTCTTTTCATTGTGCTATAGGTAATATGCCCAGAGGCTATCATATAAATGTACCTTTACTGTTAGTGCCCTTTTGCGCCCAGGATTAAATCATGTTTTACCTCTCATTTGTTTTATACTCCACTGAAGTTGATGACCCCCCCTGAAAGAAATAGAAAAACACACTTCACAGTAGCATAGAATCGCTAGAAGGAAAGTCTTACCAGGCCACCAAACCTGAATATGGACTTTAAACCCTAAATACAGGAAATACATCAAATTGTGAAATTGCAAGCAAACTAATGTTTTGTCACTAAAAGGCTTTGTTGTGATAACATTCATAAAATCATGGCACATGATTGTGGACACATACATGTAACGATCATATGCAACAAGTTATCTTTTGGTAGCTTTCATGTACTGGTACTAATTTTATGACTTCACATAGCAAATGGTTGAAGACAATGGTTGATGTATCGTCTGTTCACAGCTAAAAGAGTGTCAAACTATGTGTTTCAGTTTAGAAATGAGCTCCTTTCTTATATCAGTTATTATGTTGATGTCCAAGATATTTGACAACTAACAGGAATGCAAATGGGCAGTTTTAATACCGGTATCTAAATTTGATGAAGGCTGAATTTCTTTTTATAACGATACAAATGAAGTGCATATCATATCACCAATACTTCTGTATCGGTAACATTTGAGCAATACAATGACGAATTGGATCTCCTGAAGGTTACACAGTATGTGGAAAATGTTACAGATCCATTTTATGCTAATAACAAGCCTTCAGTATCGCCTTTCTTGAATCTGTTGCTTTCATCACCATCATCCAATACCTTTACCTCAGAAAAATTTCATGAGACTTTATTTTGGAATGATTTAAACAGACCGCTATAGAATATTGATATAGGTCATATACGACTGGTCCTGTTAAAGCATATCCACTTTTGCATTTACCTGTACTGGTTTTCGTAAAACTGATAGCAACACCTTAAAAAATATCTGGCAAAGCTTATTCTTTTTCCTATCCTCTTCCCCCAACAATTCATCTTATATTTATGGGCAATTTGAAATCTCTTGGAGGTGGATATCTACTACAGGTTTTGATGAAAATGTGTAAATTGTAATCACCATTTTGTATTTTGTATATTGATATTTGTAACATGTTGGAATGTCTCCTTAACTTATTCACTTGTTTATATTATAAATACAACACAAATATATATTAATACAAATATGTTTATACTCCGTTGGAAAATCCATGACAAAATGGCCACAGTAAATGGAGAAATGGTTCCAAATATCCTTCTTTATGGCTCTAATATTTATAGCCTGAACCATCTGTGGACCATACATGTATTAAGTCATTTTTGTATTTCACTTTTGAGCATTATGTAGAATTACACTATAGACAGGGTTATGTTTCATTTTCATTGTAATTAAACCAATTGTCAAATATATTCAAACAATTTCTTTTATTTATGTGTAAAATTTGTATTGTTTGTACATTTGAGTAGACATAAGAATATGCTTGAATTGTACTTTCTTTTTCTTCTTTCTTTGTTCTCTTTTTTTATTGTTATTATTTTGAAGGACACGAGTGTATATCATGTAGTCTGAAATAAATATTCATGAACGATAAATTGAAATGTATATGACTTGCCTTGTGTAGTTTGTCAAAGAAACCATTTTAATCAGGTGTTACAAAATGGATGAAATTCCTGTATAGGTACATGTATTAGTGAATTACTTGTATGCACTGCATTTGTCACTAGAATTAGTTCCACTATTTTAATCACAGATATTATATATTTCTATATGTTTCCCTTTAAAATTATTTGCGTAGAGCTATCAGGGCGCTGACTCGTATTCGTTTAGAGTAAACACCGAATAGACAAATAAAAAGCCTCCCCACTCCGACAATAAAAATAAAAACCTAGAATTGATGTAGGAAAATGAATATCAAACTTGTGTGTAAACACATACATGTACCTACATGAAATTCCTTTTTTTACACTCCAGTATAATTCATTTTATAGCAACAAAAAAATGAATTATCTTCACAAGGAAAAAATAAAACGGGAATCCTCTGAAAAACTACAGTTGCATTTTTGGCAACAACAAAAATTGACAAAAAAGTGCAAGGGTTTTAGTAAGGTTATTTCGGGCAAAAAATCAAAGATTTTAAATCTGGCCTCTTTGTTATGTTTTTTTCTCATAAATACAACCCCGGGGGATGTTACATTGACTAGAATTAATTTTGATTTTAAAAATCAATTTTAAGGCTTGATGAAACACCCCCCCCCCCCCCCCCCTGATCTACAAAAACATTCTCCAGGCTAATATCTTGTAAAGTGGAAAAATGCAAATTTTGACAAAAACTGCAAGGTTCAGCAGTTTTTTTGTAGAAAATGGCCTAAAATTGGAATTTTTTCTGTCTGGCTTGCTTACATTCATGTTTTTTTTCAGGAACGAAAATGGCAAGAAATAATCAAATTTCAATCTGGCTTATTTTCATGTTTTATCATTTATACATCATTGAATATGACCCCAGATAGTTGACAAAGGGTATCAGGACTAATTTCATGAAGAAACTAGATGGAACTTCGACTGCGCGCAGTCGAAAATGATGCCTCCGTCATAGAGCAATTTTACAAACCAAAACAGAAGAAATTTTTCGAATTCAAGTTCAATTGTAATCCATTAACAGGTTCTCAGAATATTGTGATTACAAGCTATTTTTGCATACATAATGAGCCCATGACCTTTGACCTTATGAACCAAGAATCTACTCAGTTCATTGGCTCTGCAAGAAACATACATGACCTAAGTTGGCAGGAATCCATCAATCGGTTCTTGAGATAACGCGATCACGAGCTGTTTTTGCACACATAATGTGCCCTGTGGCCTTTGACCTTTGACCTTGTGACCCCTACATCTTATCAGTTCATCGGCTCTGCAAGTAACATACATGACCTAAGTTTGGCAGCAATCCATCAAACTGTTCTTCAGATAACGCGATCACAAGCTCGTTTTGCATACATAATGAGCCCTGTGGCCTTTGAACTTTGACCTCGTGACCTCAAAATCTAATCAGTTTTTCGGCTTTGCAAGTAACATACATGACCTAAGTTTGGCAGCAATCCATTAATCGGTTCTTCAGATAACGCGATCACGAGCTCGTTTTGCATACATAATGAGCCCTGTGACCTTTGACCTCGTGACCCCAAAATCTAATCAGTTCATCGGCTCTACAAGATACATACATGACCAAAGTTTGGCAGGAATCCATCAACCAGTTCTTCAGATCACGCGATCACGAGCTCGTTTTGCATACATAATGAGCCCTGTGACCTTTGACCTTTGACCTCGTAACCCCAGAATCTAATCAGTTCATCGGCTCTACAAGATACATACATGACCAAAGTTTGGCAGGAATCCATCAACCAGTTCTTCAGATAACGCGATCACGAGAACGGGACGTACGGACGGACGGACAACCCGAAAACATAATGCCTCCGGCTACTTCGTAACGGAGGCATAAAAAAATTTGGACAAAAACTGCAAGGGGGTTTTAACTTTAGCATTTTTGGACAAAAATGGCCCCAAATCAGAAATATTTGATTTGGCTCATTTTCATGTTTTATCATCAAAACGCAATTAAATGTTACCCCAGCAAACGGAGCATAAGTCAGGGCTTCATATTGATAACACAGTAGCTAGGAAACAGATTGAATTTCTGTATATAATGACGGGAATGATTATTTGCTTATAATATGTAGTTCATGCTAGAAATGCATTGATTAAGATGTAGCAGGCACTAAACAAAGCACACACACACGTAAAACAACAACAACAATAACAACAAAAAGGAACAGTAGTATTACTTTGATATGTCGGGTTATCTTTCAAGAGCAGATAATTCATTAAAACTCGATGCCACTTTGCTTCAAACTGTCCTGCAAAATCTTCTTCAATCTATTGGAATCATAAATACACATACCTCAGTCACAATGCGATATACATGGTGGGCAGGGAGCTTTACTGGAACATGTACAAATACATGCAACATAGTCAAACCAAACATATCTTTGGATATCTATCAAATAATAAATAATATGTCTTGATTCAATAGACCAGTTCACAGTTAGCACCTTACTGCAATAACCCCGAATATCCGCAGATCTTCAAAACATGAAGAGGTCCCACTTGGTACATTTTGAAATAATCACTCCTACAGCGATGGAGGTGCTATACAAATAGCCTTTGTTTCCCCTTTACAAAGGATACTTTCACCTGTGTATCATGGAGTGCACTGAATGTGCATGAATGAATAATGATTACATAACTTTCATGAGCATGTATCCAGTATTTCGTCTCCGTGTATTTCACAATTTGTTCTGCAATGACCTTTATCTGCTCATGCTCAGACTGCAACCATGAACTGGCTTACCGTAATTAACGGTGTATTAACCGCACCTTTTTGCCGCCGGAAAAAATTCAAAGTCGGGGGTGCAGTTTATACACGATACACACATTCCCCCCCCCCCCCAAAAAAAAATAATAATAATTAAAGTTTCAATTTATGCCCCTCCACCTGACACTATGCCAGGCAATGTCTCCCAGCTCAGTAATCGGTGTGTTGACTCACCACTCGGAAACTAGAACAACACTCAAATTTGTCTGTCATCTTGGTTTGAAAGTAATCTTTCTGATAGATTTCAATATGTAGTTGTTAAAAATAATTCCTCCAATTTTTCTTCTATTACACGGCATACCACAAGGTTCTATCCTAGGTCCTCTACTGTCTTTTAAGTCGGCAAAAGAAAAGTCGGCAAAAAAAAAGTCGCAAAAAAAAAAAAAAAAAAAATTTTTTAGGGCGAAAAAGAGGGGTGCGGTTAATACACGAGGCGGTTTATACAACGTTAATTACGGTATTCAATTCAGTTTATTATTCAGTTCATTACCCAGGGTAGCCACATCATTATCAATACTGTTCTTCCTGAGGGCCCTGCAATCATATCATTACCCAAGCTTTAGCCCAGTTACCATGATAAAGTGCTCAAGCACTCGAGGAATTTCTTCTCACCGGGTACACCAATTTACATCACCTGGGTGGAGAGAAGCAAATGTAGATTGATGTTTTGCCAAAGGACATTAGTCCTGCGGTGGGACTTGAACCATGAACCATGTAATCCACAGTCCGTTGACATAACCCCTGGACCATGACACATCTAATCTACCTCTGACTAGGTTTAACAAATTGGAATATGGTGATCATAGACTTGCAGGTGATGCAGCGCCGACAAAAATCTATAAAAGTTGACAAGAGTTAAGAAATAACTGAATGTCAATTATACACACAGAGCTTACATAGCCATCATGCAATTTGCTGTTCTAGAGAAAATCAAGTCAAGCTTTCTTGCAATGCGTGTATGTGACTATTAAAAGCTGAAGAAATGAAAGCTAATTGCTAAGATTTCTTTCATTAATATACTACCAGTAAAGCATATTTCAATGTAAAGTGCTTCAATATGACTATAACTTGGCAGTATTTCATCAATAATAACAATGATCACATACATTATTTCAGTTTACACTTAAAGTAAAAAAGATTCTGAAATCTGAAATATTCACCCTTTAATCAATTATATACATTTGTATCTTTTTCCTTGACTTGTGATTTGTGTGGCAATACCACTCTCTGTATTAAACACAAGTCATAACTGCAAAATATGCCTTACCCATCCAATGGGTTTTAAGCATATCTGTCCAGTTTTGTCTAATTTTTCCAGTACTGTCCGTATTAATAAGTTATCTTACACTTTCAAAATTAAGTTTTATCATTCCATCTTGCACACTTCAATTTGGAAGTCATTTCAAATACTTTCTGAGACATTAGATTAGAGTTATCTGGCACTTGCTCGCCTGGTGTACCTTATAAATACTAAAAGTAAAATAACAGAAAACAAAACAAAACAAAACAAACATCCCAATGAACCAGAACAAGGACATGAAAATAAAGGAAACCATTAGGTGTTGTTTTGAGCTCTTGCAAATAAAGTTGCAATTATACTCCAAATAATATGATATTTTTTATTTGTATATTGTATATCATGTTCCTATGCGCTTACAAAGAAATTTTGATATTATTAACCTTGGCTTTATATAGTCTTAATAATAATAGGTTCATCTATAAATACCTATGATAAAATCTTTAGAGCGGGCTTCATTAGAATAAATCACTGACTCATTGAGTTAAGAAATAGAGAGTTCATTTCATCCCTTGAAACTTTTGTTGCACATGATCTTTTCAAATTCATCTTTTAATTTCATAAAACTTATGCATATTTCACGGTTGAGCAAAATTGCACATGTAACTACCTTGCAATTACTTAAAAGGTAATACAAAGTTTTGGTAATATTTCAACAGGATTGGATTATGCAATTTAAAATTTGCATTACTATTGTGAAACCTAGTGTTAGAATAAGCAACTTTGAAAAAATTGGGCTCTTAAGGATTATGAAAAATTGAAATACATACAATGGTAGCTTTGACCATTAAAATCTCACAATGTTCAGTTCTGATTTATAATTTCCAAACGGAATAGAAAATCTGTCATTTTAATCAAGAAACGTTTTGTTGTGTCATATCTGAACGAGAATTAAAGGTTTAAGTCTTTAAATAAGTACAAATAGCAAGATGTGACAATATGAGTACTAGTCTACTTGAATAATTTAAAGTACAAACTTCCCGAGAGAAATGGAAACACACTACAAACAAAAATACACTTGATGTACATTTTATAACACTAAAAATACACCGCTTTCCGACCGCACCTCGTAAACACACAGTGTTTGCGAAATGCTATAGTATTCATAACATTACTAAATGTTTTGATATTAGTTTTTAGGTGCAAGATTGCATTGTACAGTCCTAGATAAGCAGTGACACATTCGAGCAGGGAGTTGACACAACAGATTCACCAATTTCTCTCTCTTTCGGTGGTTGCTCTAAAAGCACCAAGAACTGAGGTATCAGAGGTACACTATTTCCACGGTGACCGCTGCACTAATGAGGGGATTACCCCCAACGAATCCATTTGCAAGTGGCTCGATGGGACTGTAATTCCAGGGGCCGCATTGCAGCGGTGCGCGACTTTAAACAGAGCCTGATTTACAAATCATGGGGAGCTTTCCCCCTTCGGTCCATAGACTAGCCCATCGACGGAGCCCCTAGACGTTCTGTGGCCCCCGGGCCTTCTGCGGGCCGCCTGCAGCCGGCTTGGGGAGGCTGTAGAGATAGATGGCGACAGTCACAAGAACCGATCCGCCCATGAACAGATAGCCAAACGACTTTCCGAAGAACAGAAACGATCCTAGAGCTGCCATGACGATAGATACAGCGGTGGAGAAACCCTTGATGATGTTGTCCAGGTACTTGACTACAATGGAGGTGTATAGGCCTCCTATACTCGCCATTCCTGTAAGCACATACAACAAATACACCAGTGTTATACAACGATGATAATGAAATTCACATTAACAATCAATTTCGATTAACATGAAATCATTGATAAGTGCATTAACCATAATTTATTTACTACATACATGTACCTTTCTAACTGAAAAACTGAGAACCTACAAATAATGAATACAGAAGTATTTTCCCTTACTTGCATGTGATTAGGATTCGCATGCCGCATAATGAATGAATCACAACTTATGCAACACCGAGTGATTTCAAGTTCGGTGTTGAAAGCTGGTGTTGGTGTTGTGAGAACACTAACACCAGCCACAACACCGAACTTGAAATCAGGCTGGTGTTGGGGGCTGGTGTTTAATGTCGTGTGATGAACCGAGTATCGCGGTTGGTGTTGACGATTTACATGTAATTTTTCCCATTCACCAACACCAGCCACCAGGGATTGGGAAATTCATGATTTCAAGTTCGGTGTTGGTGTTGCAGTGTACCGCAGGTAACTATGCGGACATCTGGCAAGAATCTCACGATAATGCCAAGATAACATCAAAAGGTACAGTAAAAACAGCTGTAAATCCTTGGAGCTACATAAGTATTTCAAGAGAAATCTATTGAGTTTTTAATATGACTTTACATTTGATATTCGATATGGTGTAATTTATTGGAATTTCTGAATTGATTATGCTTTTATCGCATGACTTTTCGCCTGTAGAGGAGGGGGTCACTCGGCGTTGAGCTATCGATCGGTATCGTCCTTCTAAACTGACCGTCGCTGTTGGAGCTCGGTTCAGCAGCCTTTTCACGCTCTCAACACCAACACCAACACCGTACTTGAACTCACTCACCGAATTTGTGCAATTCCTAAAGTTCTTGCCTTGAAAATTGTAAAATTGCTGCCGTTTTCCTATGGTGAAAGTTTCAGGTACTACGTCTATGTCGATCAAGAACCAGAAGAGCATTATCTCAATCACTTTAACGCCCTTTTGTCCCTAAACAGACGATTTGCTTACCAATAATCACAAAAACGTATACGTCATAGCCATAGAGGAATCCATGCGTCATGACGTTGTTATAATCTTTGGTGAATACTGCTACAAGACCACTCAGGATCCCAAATAGGTACATCTGAACATTCCGTATCCATAACGTTGTTTCCGTTCCTTTCAGAACTTTTTCAAAATATACACCTGTAAAAGAGAGAAAGGAACGTTAAGGTACCTGTAGAATTCTTAAAAGCATAACAGAATATTAGGAATATATCGGTCATATCCAACAACCCTAATCCTTACCCTGATTCTAATAACAACGACCAACAATACCAAAACAATAGTGGAGTCTTGTAAAGCGCTCATGTCTGGCAGACTGCCTCTCTTGGCACTCATGTTTTATTATTCCGGCTTAAACACAGCTTACATTGCAGCACCCTATGCATTTTAAAGAATTAATTCCTGCCAGGTGCCCATTTACATTATCTATTTTCTTATGTATTTTATTGTTTTTTATTTCGTATTATATCTATTGTTTTATTTATAATGTATTCTTTTGTTCTGGAATACATCAAGTTACTCTGAGAAACATATAAAAGCAATTTGATATCAATTCATATCTTCACATTCCTGCTTGTACATGAATATATGCAATTATAGCACTTTTTTGATGACATGCGCATACTAATTGTTATGTAACACCTTACAGGTATATCCGATTTTGACGAAAATGGTATCAAAATATGCGCAAGAATTGAGGGAAAAATGACAATTCAAAATTCCAAGCGGTTGCGGCGCGATCCCCGAAAATGTCATGGGGGGGGGGCCTCCCAGGCCCCCCCCCCCCCAGTACAGCAAGGGTTAATGTGTTCCTTCATCTATCTCTGCCACCCTACCTACCCCCCACACCCAATCAACATCCCCATCAATCCCCCATCCCCTTCCTATCTCTTTCTCTTAATCTACCCTCCTCCTCACCTGCAAATCCTGAGCAGAGACACGAGACTATGATCGATATTAATCCCTTCATGTAATTATAATGTTTCATATCTTCTTTTGTGTTTGCTGATTCCACCTGGACCGCTGCCACACCGGCGAAGAGGAGAAAGATTGCCAGCCACTGCATTGGGTTGATCTTCTTCCCTATCATCACCACCATGAACACCGCCGTCGTGATGATCTTCAACTGATACGTTATCTGTAAAACAACAAAAACAACAAAAACAGTAAAAATTATGGTTTTAGCGACAGAGACAGGTGTGATAGTGAGAACTAAAAAGAATAGTTTTTTGTCCCCTCAACCAAGCCTCCCTTGAGTAAAAAAAAAGAATGGAGAGGATTCGGGGGAAAAAATGGCATCTAACACCATTCCCCCCCCCCCCCCCCTTTAGAGTAAGAAAAACTGGGAATAAAGATGGGAAGAATAGAGAAAATATTAAAGGGAAAAATCAGGTTTTTATCAGGCCCGCAGAGAGATGAAATGCATGCATTGAGCAAGTTAGCTTTGAAAACTAATTGAAACATCAAGATTACACCAGGAAAATCATATTTTATTGCTATTAAAAAACTCCCACTGAACAAACTGTTTTTCTTGTTTAATATCAATTAAATTGAACATCAAAGAGGGTGATTTAGATCTTAAAAACAACAACAAATGAATCTAGTTCAGTGACAAAATTATACGATGGAAAAAATTTATGGATGTATGGTGCAAGGTGGCTTTGGAAAGCAATTTTAAACATCAAAATTGCCCCGAAGAAAGATCGCATTTTATATGGGTAAATTCATCATCATCTAGTGCCGTCCCTTCAGAATCGCTTTCTGTCATGTACCCTTGTTCTAACCTCTCCGTAGTTAAGACCAGTCCATTTCTTGACATCATCAAACCAGGTGGTTTGTTGTCTACCCCTTTCTTGTTTTCTCTACCTCTACCTTTGTAACTTACAAAGCTCTAAAAGAATAATCTCCTTCATGCTTATCAATATGTATATTTAAAGCACTATTATGTAGGGTTCTTAAAGCCAAGGGAAAATGACATCGTTGAGGTTCTTAACCAGACTGATGTCACATCTTCGAGACCAATAAAATCTGCCATTGGGTTAATACTTTAACCACTTAGAATCCCCACTGCACTACCTATAGCTACTTGCGCCTTCTATACAGCCAACAATGCCTAAGTGGTACCTGTTGATCCCCAATGATGCCCTTTTTCTTATGTTAATTGAGAACTGATATGATGAGATAACCACCTGTCAGTGACCATGCAGGGAGGTCTAATCCCTCCTGGCCAAACGAGTGTAGAGGGGCTTTAAATGACTCAGTCAACACATTTGACTAACCTGATACGTTGCAGGATCCAGATTGGAGAGGGCCACAAAGGCCAGGTTCACATCTCTCAGACCAATAAAATTTGTCTTTAGGTTAGTACCTAAACCACTTAGAATCCCCTATAAGAACCAACAATTGTATTTCTTCAAATGACCCAGTCATCACATTTGACTAGTTACCTGATACGTTGCAGCATCCAGGTTGGACAGGGCCACAAAGGCCAGGTTGTTCTGCAGTGCGTAGATGATGCTCGGGATGCACATCTTGAAGGTATCCGAAGGGTTGCAGAGCACGTTGTGGTAGACGTCCCTGATCATCCCCACCACGCTCTTATGCTCCTTGATGAGGAGGATGAGACTGATGGAGAGCTTGGAGCACTCAGACAGGAGGACGGTGGTGGTGCTGAAGTACATGGGTACGTCGTCCCTGGAGCGGGTGTAGCGGATCAGGAGGATGTACCCGGTGGCGTTGAGGGTCAGCACCAACAAGATGTACATCTTGAAGCCAAAACTGGCACCATCTATTGGAATCAAAACATGACAGAACATATCAGATTATATATACATGGACAGTTGGGGGCCCGAAAGCTTACATACACATTATCACAACTTCACTCATTCCTGTCAGGAAGATAGACAAGTTAACCTCTCTGAGACATTAATATAAATGAGTGCAGTTGTGAAAATATATGTGAAATGTTTTTTTTTTCCAGGTGCATGTAAACAAACACATCCCAATTTAAAAAAAACCTGAATCAACATTTCAATATTAAGACAAGATGGTCCAGGGGGGTGTTTCATAAAGCTGTGGGTAAAGTTACACATGACTTTACGAATGACTTGAATATGAAGAGCCAAACAGGATTTTCAAATCCTTTTAATTGCATATTAAGCTAGAGTTGAAATATGCAGATTTACATTAACCTTATCATTATTAACAAAACATTTTAATGCAAAGTGTAATTTTGGCTACAATTTAATTGAGATTATGGGAAATACAGTCACAGTTTGTTAAAATGTCAGGAAAACTTTGGGCATCCCATTTGGCTCTTCATATTCATTCATTCATAAAGTCATGCGTAACTTTATGCACATCTTCATGAAATGCCCCCCCCCCCCCCCCGGGCAGTTGCCCCCGGCAAAAATTGATGCATGGTAATTTCCTACACTGACCGCAAACCATACTCTACCCAAATTGCCACCCCAACCCTAACTCTATACTTTTTAAGAATTAAAGCCTTGAACAATTGTTGCCGGAGCAAAATATAGAATCACCAACAAGATGTACTCAATAGCAATTGAAAGTGATATTGACAGCCAGGCTGATATGATTAACAAAGAGGGGAAAAGGAACTGAAATGAAATCTGCTGTTAGCTACATGTATGTAATATTTCACACAAGGCTATGATGTGCGTTTTGCAAATGGACACAACATTCAGAGGAAAGAGAACTTGCCAAAACTTTTTTTTGTTTTTTGCACTTTGAGAAAGTGGTTATTCTCCCCTGCTTAATTTTTTGTTTCCTTCTCATATATGACCGAGTATTTACAGTGAATGTACAATTTATGACAAATATAACATTTCCAAGTGACTGTGCATAGTGTTTTATAACTGAAGAGATCTGGTAGGCTATCAATAATCTCAAGGCACTTTGCCAAAGTCAGCAGAATAATATTGCTTGAAAATGATGCTTGCTATGCTCTTTAATGGTTATTATCACATTCTGTTTTTATGGACTGTAACTTAATGTCAGTTTATCTTGGATCAAAGTCTCTAAACAAAACATGCCATTAGAGTTCCTCAATCTCAAGTTTCTCAAATTTCAAAAGGCCTGTCTTCATCAACTTGAGTTTGCCAAATAACCCACTATATTCAGAATTGGGATATAATCCTGAAGCTTGAAAATGCGTCTTCCCCAGATCATTACGGTCATCACAAACTAGCTCCAACAGGCACAAATTAGATAGCTAAAATAGCCAGTTATTTGGCAAACTCAAGGTTGTGAAGACAGTTGGAAGGATAGTTGGAAAGACTTATAAAATCAATAACAAAACTTTTACTTTTCAATGAGGAAAATCATAGCTGAGAAGATAGAAATTATTTTTAATGAGAAAATATATAACACAGGAACACTATTTCACTTAAAAATACTAAAATATAGCAGTTGATGACAAATCTTTTAAATTGATAAGAAACCTTCAACCCCCCCCCCCCCCCAACTTATTATGCAATTTGCGTTCTGGCAATTGTAGTACAAAGGATAATAGCAGGTGAATGAAATGCTTCATCACCACACACACCTGGGAAGGAAGCATCCATAACTTTGAATACATATACTTGATAAACGACTTCACATTTATACATAACGTTATCAAGAAAATGGTGATGCCCAATTGCCCATGTCGTTCTGAGAAAGTGTACAGTATTCTTGCTTTATGCCTTTCTCAAACACTTTGATGGGGAATCTTGTAGATTAATGGGCAAGAGTATAATCAATCTCTCAGAAGTTATTTCTTTGGGTGAGGTTTCCCTTAAGGTTATTTTCTGTATTACATTCAAGACTTGGTTTCCACTTTCTAGTGCTTTAATAAAACAAAGGAATGAGGTACATTTTGTATATCAGCTCTTCGCAGCCACCCACACATCCGGTTACCAGCATATTTAAGTGTAAATAAATTGGCAATGAATTTGAAGTATTTTCTGCTCGTATTTCAATTACCAGATCATCGCTGATACTAGCTATCAAATTCAATTTTCTATGCTTTTAATGATTTATGATACTTTGTATTAAGTGCAGTACATTAGATTTACTATATAAATGGACATATCATTGTTTATTATTGACATATATATTTATATTTTCATGTTTGTATCTGATCATAATTGTTTTTAAACTTGTGCAATGTGGCAGCTTGGGCCTTATCTAATAAAGTTGTCCACCACCACCACCACCACCACCACCACCACCATCAACCACCACATCACCACTACTTGGATTGTTTTATCAGCGATTATTGAAACATGCATCTTGTGCTAAACAAATTATCCAATAAAGTCTACTTCTACTTTCATGCAAACATAATGGGGCTAGAAGCATCACTTCAATTCAAGTTTGTTTACAAAAGAAATCTGCAGTTTGTCTCATTGACACGCTGAGTGCATTTAATGATCTAGTCGAAACCAATAATATTCTTCTGAAACCAGAATCTCTCCTGAACATCAAGAGTGGAAGAAATAAGCAAAAAATATAATGCCCTGAAATAATTAAATCACAACAAAATGTCTGTATTTCTCTAATGTGTTTCCTGTTAAATTGGGCATCGTTGACAAATTTATAGATTAGTTTTTTTTTACAACAAGCAACTAAGGAGTGGATCATGGATGAAATAACTCTAAATAAAAATGTTAACATGGTAAGCTTCATATATATGTGCACAAGTACAGTGTACAAGATGTACAGACAGCCTATATTTTTGTCTTTGCAATTAAAATTACGCAGTAAATTGTGTTTTTATTCCATAAGAAATTTTGCTCTGAAGGGTTTCTATGTTGCTATACTATATTCAAAATAATTGCTTCAAACGTGACCTCAGTCTATAAAAGCAACTTGTGAGTACATGTTGACTGGTGGATGATATGGCGTCAGAGCTACCAAGTATCACGCATTAGGCGTGACATCACGCATTTCGAGGGTCTGAAAATGCTCTTACTCACGGCGCGCGCGCTAGATTTTGAAAAAACGCTATACCTTATACGTGTGTTACACCCTCGCACGCGCGTTTGGGCGCCGAATCATGAAAATGTCACGCATTGCCGATCTTTGAACTTGGCGTCTCTGTGGCGTATATATTCAGTACTGAATGAACGGCATTAAACAACTACCACCACCAACAACAACTGGTGGATGAGCCCATAAGGACTCGCATAGCAAAGGACTAAAACGTAACTCAAGTCTAACTAGCGTCCCATGCATAGGGTCTTGTGTCATGTTTTATTATCTTCATACTCTTACACTACAGGCATGCCTAGCTGGGTAAAGTCCGCTTTGGTTGATTGGATACATTCTAGCTGTATTTTTGTCCACTTGATTGAGTTGATTCATACCCTTTAATTACATTTATAACCTTGACCTCTGCGACAATCATGTCTGGTGTTTGTCTGTGTCTGTGCAGTTTATATCCCTTAATTCCTCACATGAGATCAAATCTCCCACAGACATTGGCCATAGCAGGAAGCTCACAGCCGCATGCAAACTAGCTGCAGTAAGGGGGCAGCAGAATAATATGTTTTGTAAAGAGAGGTCATAGATTAGCAGTCATGATTGAATTTCCCACTAATGTTCTACCCCAAAACAGATCTAATTCACATTTATAACTACATTATATTGCAGAGCAGTTAGCACAGCAGTCCACAAATAATGATGACTGACCTTACAACCAAGATATAAATTTGTATCTTTGAAATTAACTTAATTTAAGTTCATTTGTATGAAAGCAGAAAAAATAAATATAATGGACCAATAAAAAGAGAGTTATGATTGTTTGAAATATGAGATTACTATAGTATAGCTAGGCCAATCTCAAATTGGTAATTTTGTAAATGGGGTGCGTTGTAGTCCCAGATAACTCGCCAAATTGTGGTGAATGAAAGTATAATTAATTTCATTTTTTTTAAGCATCAGGTCTTCATGAATGGCTACAAAATGAAGTTGTATATTCCTATTACTACTACAGGTGATTTGGGAGTTTCCTGTGTGACCTCTAATGGCTAAAAAGGCTAATTTTGGACTGGCAGACACATCCACAGATCAGAGAGGCATAGTTATGGGTTTGTGCTGCAGTTGTGCCTCTGGTCTTTATAACTGCTCGTTTGTTTGATTCTTGGATTCAAAGCGCTAGCTTTATGTGGCTTGTCTCTATTTTTCCTACTATTTGCACTAGAGTAACTGACATATCTTTGGGACAAAGACCATAACCCGTTGAGTCACTGACAAGTCTACCCCATCCTTGAACAAATAGGTGTAGTATTAAGAATGGTACACATGTCCTGAATTAAAGATAAAGTTGACTTCTGGGCATGCGATTGCATTGTGAAAGAAATGTTGTGGAATCGATCAGAAAAGGTTGATCGTGTAGCATATAAGTATTGGTGTGTACTGCAAGGTTCTGGAGTCATCAAAATGATAAGAAATTTGGCCCAATCTTGGTATTAAAAGTAACAAGCACTGTACACAGAAAGATGTATATGGGACTACACAAACATGTGGCATAAACATCTAGCCTCATTTTAAGCTGTTACTTGTCATATTCAGAATATGAAGGCATTTGAAGAGCCATGCTTTTCAGGGTACATTTTTTCTCTGAAGTTCTTCCACATTTGCATAATAAAGATAATGCTCACAAATTATTTTTTTCAACTCGCCCCAGAACTCAACCTTCTCTTTAAAAGAGAAGTCCACCTTGATATCAAGTTGGTTTTAATATAAGCAGAAAACTGAGAGGAACTAGTCAGTAAGTTTGAG